TATATATATATATATATATAGTATGTATTTTATCCTTTCACAAAGGTATTAAATTAAAGAAAAATAAAGATTTTTGATAATATAAATAATTTATATTTTTATGAAAAACGATCATATATATCGTCTGATGATATTAAAGTATTGTCTGTTCGATACGTAAATTCGTGATACCATATATTTGTTAATTAATTTATTAGAACTGAATATATATCAAAATTATGTTAAAATAATATTGTTAACAAGTGTGGTACATTATTAATTTATAACAATGTGATTGATAAATCGTAAATATATATAATACTTTAAATCGATTGCTGTTATAAGAGGTAAAATAAGTTTAGGTTATTAAATTTAAATGTCGTCTCTTTTGCCGTCACGTTTATTTATTTATTTTCTACTAGATATTCTGTGAATTTATATTTTGTAAATCATATTCGTATATAATATGTATATGTACACGTGTGCTAATAATATATTTAAAAATATAACAATATAAAATATAAATTATAAAGTATAAACAAATTTAATGCATAATTTCATAAAACATTGCAATGAAGAATACGAAATGAATACGTAACGTTAATGATTACGATTAACCTGTATGAAAGTTGAAAATTTGACAGTAAAAGAAAATAAAAAAAAAGAAAATCAATGGTTTGAAATAATAAATATCTTTGTAAGTGCTTAGTGAAGTGTTTTAGTTTTCTTATGTTTTATTATGTTTAACTTGAAAGTGTGAAAGTGTAAATAATTTAACTATTTTTCTCCGAAATATTTTTACCAATTTATATTATAAAATTAACAATTGATTATTGTAATAGAATTTTAGAACATAAATAAATATAAATCTCACATGTAGCTTCTATCTGTATTAATTTTCATAGTTTTGTTATTTTGAAGATTATTCTTTTTATAAAATTATACGATATAATTAGAAGAATTATAATAATTCAGAAATATTTAAGTTCACAATAATTTTTATGTATTGCGTTTAAATATATTGATAAACATTCGTAATAATGTAAATTCGTAAATGATCTATTTTAAATATATTTTGTTCCTTAATAAGATTTAATTCTGTATTATTTACTAATTAAGAATAATATTATTAAACAATATTACGTGGAATCGACAATGTGGAATTTATAATGGTCTAATCTCGTCGTTGGTATTGTTTAAAAAACAAATATTGTGATGTAGTATTTAAAGAACTTAGTGAAGAAAGAAAATTCACCAACGGAAGCATACGTAAGCTTATTACGGGCACAACTGCTCAAGTTTTTTCTGTAAAAGATAAAGTCGAGATAAAGGTCCAAGGTAATATAAGGTATGGGTGTATTCAATTGCCATTAATAGATGCCACAATTTGTAATGAAATGACGACACTCGTTTCATTAGAATCCACTGCATTGTGTTTTCTTGTGAAATGTGGTGAAGGAGATTTTGACTCTACTGTTCTTAAATGTCATGTAAGTTTTCCTAAAATCATAAAATTAAAAATAAAACTCTATATATATTATTGAAATAAGACAAATGTTAACGTCGATGATTTTCATGTAATAAATATATCGATATTCTTTTATATTTCTTCTATAAGAAACAAATTCATCCAATGTGCTTGTCGCTGCACATTGTCAACGTATAGAGGCGGCCTTAAGATGTTATGCAGAAGCACAGCCGTTAACTTTAAGGCTATTCTATCCTATCATCTTTAAACTTAAACGTAAGTAATGAAACGAAGCAAGAAATTTGGTTACTAGATATAGATATATAACTTTTGGTCCTTTAGTACAACGTGTAAAGATATAAAATACAAAGCTTGGAGTAAACATCCGTCAGGTTAAAATATTCATTTTTCTCTTTTTGTTAGGAAATTAAAACAGACAGAATCTAACTAATCGTTATTTTCGTTCTTCTTTTTATATATTATAGTGAACGTTGCGTACATTTTTATGCTTTTTAGGTTTCATTTGTGCATTTGCCAGCTGTACAAGATTGTCAGAAAAATTTAGTTGTGAATATTAATATAGATCAAAATGATTTAAAAATATCGAAACAACGTTAATATTAATCTCATTCTGTTATTACGTAACAGGATGAACAAGACAAAATAGTAGGAATTGGTAAGAAGATTGGTATTAATTTTTTATGAAATGTTCATTTTACAATAAAATTTTAGATCTCGATAATCTAACTACGGATGATGCAGATACACATCTTTCGAGATGATACATTAACAGTTGGAATAGATTGGATGGAAATGGATTAGATTTGGATTCAACGACTCAATTTAGAATCTACAATTTTACCACATAATATCGTTGAAAATTTTGAAGTTGGATGTGATCGTTATTGCTTGTTATTTATTATTATTAGAGGATAATATGATATCTATCTAATATATTTTTATATATTTAACATATTTCAATGATAGGAAATTTTA